GCGGGGAACTCTGCAAAAAACGCATCTTCGCACGGGCAGCCCGTGCGTTGGCCATTTATTTTTTTTAAAATGTTCGGTTTCATTAGCATGAATTTTGTGAAGAGATAGGATATAGTAATTACCTCAAGAGCCTTGATCTGATTGCTGTGTGCTGTTCCATCACTTGTCGATTGTAAGGGGTATTTGCTTTCGTGAATGCACACGCAGTACTGCATCATTATTTTTCTAAACGGACATATTACGCTTTCAAATTCAGAAAAAAAAGCACTAAATGGGCAGAGCATTTTCCAGCTTTTTAAAATAGGCAGGTGTTTTTGCGACCTACGAGGGAATCGCCTTGCTTCAGACATTGTTGAGCTGTTATCACAATTATGTTCTTCAGTGTACTCTCCTGAAAGAAGGCTTATTTCCTCAAATTATACGAAATAGTGGTTAATTTTGTCTTGTGGCGCCTGAACGATGATTTCTCTTGGCCCAGCTATTAGAGACAGTTTTCGGGAAATTCCAGCTTGTAGCGCTTTCAGAAAAACTGGAGAGTTGTAGCTTCTGATGGCACCATGAAAAGCAATTTGAGGGTATTTTTTTGTTGGTAGTCTCTTCGATATTATAATTTTTAATTATATTTTGTAATATGTTTGTACGCGTGTGGCATTTATATCTCTGTGAAGTATTGTTTCGGCAAATTTGACTGGCCTTTTAACAGTGATTGCTTTTCACAGCGTAGTTGTTCGAGCATTCCGTAACCGGTGGCAAATGCAAACGAAGTTCGTTGTTGTTGGCGGCCTATAAAGCCCTTTCTGGACAAAAACGACAAAGTGAGGAGCAGATGAAACAAGTGGTCAATACGGCAGCTTGCCTCGAACTTATGCAAAGTTTCTTCGTTATCGAAGACGACATTATGGATGATGGTGTTAAAAGACGGGGCAGATTGTGCTGGCATCGGCTGGTTCCATATTTTACCTGTTTTATACGATTTAATTTTGCCAAAATCATGGTTTTTAAAATGAATTATTTAATTTTTTTTGTGATTTTCTCGCCCATTCGTTGCTGTTTTTACTCCATGTTACTATTCTTTTGGGAATTGGGATTTGATATTAATAAAAATTTTCAAAACTAGTGTAAAAGCATTTTTTTTTGGTTTGGCTGAATAACGTTATATCAGCCAAAGAGTCTTTACTTTTGGGGCTCAAATTGATTTTTAACGCTAAATATTGGATTCTTTGAGAAAGCTTAGTTACTAAGTAAAAAAAGTGGCATGCGTGGTTACAACTTACATGAAAACTTTTTTGTAAGAAAAGTTCTTAAAATCCAAATTCTTAAATGGTAAATCTGATTATCAGTTCTTGCATGTATGTTCGGAATTTCAGTAATACTGGGAATTTTTTCAGGATGGAGTTGGAAAAAACGGCATCAATGACGGATTGTTGCTGGATTGCTTGGTTCCGTTTGTACTATCCACCAATAGAGTTCCTTCCGCTGTGAGGGATGCTGTTGATGAGGTCAGCTCTTTGTTTAACTTTTAGATGAGATAAAATCAAAACAGCGAGTTCTGTAAGCGATACGGAGTGAACTTCGCAGTGAGATGGTGATTTTCACCATGCACCAATAACATCTTGAAATGACAAAAGCTTTGCCAAGTGCTTCTGGTGGCGGGACCTTTGAACTGATAATCTCTTCAAAGAGTCAAAACAGCCATCAAAATCACTAGTACGCTGACCGGTCGTTGAAACATTGGTCGAAGCAGCTGGAAAAGTTGACAGCTGCCTAGAGTGCTACCTGTGAATATCAGTTAGCGCAAATTATTAAGTCTGAGATAAAATATTTTGCCGGGGTTTTCTTTTGGAACTTTTGTATGGATTTGCTCACCGTACTTTTTTCGCGATAAGCTTCGAATTATTTTGCATTGGAAGGCGGATATCCTACTTTTACTGAGTAATTTTGACCATTTCATTTCTCGGTTCTAAATCAGCCAGCTATTAGCAACGTTAGAGAGGGCGTTTTCGAGAAATGTATGAATTCAGCTACTTTCATGACTATTTCACTCCTTTACTGACTGATTTTTAGCTGTGGAGTGTTTGAAGTAATCAAGGTAAAGCGAAGAAAAAAGCTTTTACAATTCAGGAAGTATTAATATGGTCTTTGATGCACCATCCTACTGCCATCTTGTTTGTCTATGGCGGTGGTAAAGACTGAGTTAAGTAACTAAAACGCTCGCTGCATATCCGAATTTCCAAAGATTTTGGAGAATGTAAAATTTACAAGCTTTTTGCCACGGGTGGCACGTCTCAGCTGAGGAGGAAGAGAGAATAAAATTAATTTTCCTGAAGCAAAACATTTTAGGCACGACGTTTTACAGTGATTGGGCAGATGCTGGATGCTGATACCAAACATGCCGAAGACTGCACTTGGCAAAGGTCCTTTTTCTGAAAAACCCTGTCAGATTATTTTAGAGGCCTTCTGGATTTTCGAGATACGAGCTTTCTGATTGCAGCATACAGGGCAAAAACCATATTTTATTGAATAGATAGTTGATTTTTCGATGGCAATGTTTTCGAAGTTTTCTAAGGGAAATTAAGAAAATACAAATTTTTGGAGCATTCTGACCAAACTTACCTTCCTCTTGTGATTTTTTCCATCGTACATTTCAGTTAGTTTTCTTTTCCTCTTATGTTTCATTGAAATGATTATTATGAAGAATTTTTCTTGGTAATAATTTCAATAGCTGAAAACTATAGGGACTCAAATAATTGTCTGTTTCTTTGCAAATTTTTGGCGGGGGAACTATCTGTCGCTAGCCGTTGTCTGTTGAAGCACTGTCGGTTATAGGGTTGGGGGTTGCTCTTAAGTGCTTTTATAGGGTATGATGCGGAAGAAGCTTGAGTGTGAACTGTACATCGGATCCGGCCTCAAAATTTCAGTTTTTGCTCTGCTTTCAAGTCGTGCCCACCAGTCCGCCGTTTTTCACGTTGAGCAACTGAAGACATTTCCATTTATCAGCATTCTGAGCTCGTTACCTTTACATGATTCCATACGGGAGTTCAAGCGTAACTTTTCGGCTGGAGACTGAACGTCGCTGCGTTTTAGCGGCCTAATTTTCCAGCTCTCCCAAGCACAGTGATTATTTCAGGCATCAAGCTATTGTACAACATAAAACATCACATTATACTTACTTCACACCATTGGAGATTGCAGCATTGTACACTGGACAGTTGGTAATTATCGAAAGATTGAAACGGATTGCCTATCAGTTGGGATATCTCTTCCAGTCTGTTGTAATCTTTTTAGTAAAAACTTTTATTAAAAAAAAAAATTTATGAGTTTTTTTATGAGTTAAGTTTATAAGTTTTTTTTTATGAGTTAAGTTTATGAGTTTTTTTTTAGTTTTTCTGTCTGTTGTAAGTTTTTTTTAGTAAAGGACACCGAGAATATGCATCTTTTGCTCGATTTTTTCTGCTAAATATTTTGATATGGTTACGGAATAATACTGCTACGTGGTGTGTTTGCGAGTTAAATTCTTACACGTTCACATGTTAAGGAGTGGCAGGACGAGTTTAATTTTGTATGTTTATGCTTACTCATGGCCTAAAACTGTACTTTCAAGATTTCAGCTACCTACCTCGTACCTGGTTTTTCCAATCATTTTTGCTACCAAAACATTTCAGATGTGCGGGGATTGATGCATGTTAACACATGCAAGCATGCTCTGGTTGAATTTCGAGCGGAGATTTATGAGTTATTCAAAGGGGTAGGCGAATAACTTCCCAAAGTGAGCGAAAAGAGAATACTGATCTTTTTCTAATTGAATTTTGGTAGCAGATTGAAGGATAGATCGTTCTACAAGCAGCACGACAGTGCAAAACAAATGATTTGGACAAAAGAGCTTGAAATATTCCACTGTCATCTTAAGAAAGCCCTAAATTTTTATAGCATTTAGGATGATTACATGGATTGTTTCGGTGATGAATCAGTGACGGGTAAAGTTGGCAGTGATTTGAGAGAGGCCAAGTGTACGTGGGTCACTTGTAAAGCCATGGAAAAGTTGGAAGAGCAGCCGATCCTCTTTGAAGAATTTCGGGTACCACCTTGTTCATTCAGTCAAATTTTATTCAAATTAACCTCCTTTTTTGGACAGATAGCACACTAGAATCGGGCCAGTTGTTATCTATGAACTACCCTTGGCGTTTCGGAGGTATTACATTTGAAATTTGCACTTTCTGAGCATACTTTCGGTTAACAGAAGACAGCATTCCTGGCGACACGTTGCATTTCTACGGAACCATATAGTCCAGGAATGATTGAACCGCATTCACTGTGTAGCCTCCGCTGAGTGGAATTTTTCAAATGAAACTAGACCAAAGCAATAATAAAAACCTTGATGAAGCTATTAAATGAGGATCTTCCTCATGTAATATCTTTGCCGAAGTAGTTTGTTCCTTTTTTGCAGTTTTAGAGGATTACACTAATGTTATGTTTAGGATAATTTTGGTAAGCCGGACATTGCTTCGGAGCAAAAACTGAAAGATGTCATAGCAATTTTGAAAGTGGCTGATGACTTTCCGGCATTTCACGAAAGACATGCGGGAAGGATTGCATCTGAAATTGATCATTTCCCGATGATCGATCTCCGACCGGTGCTGCGCCAATCGCTTAAT